GTCTGCCTGCCGGGCCCAGTGGCTGGTAAGCTGAGTGATGGCAGGCGGGCAGGCATGCAGGCAGGTGGGGGGCGGGGAGAGGAGGATGGAAAGTGGTGATGCTGGCCTGGGTCAGGAGGAAAAGATCCCAGCAGCCAGGGCTAGCCTGACTGAACTCCAGACACAGAGCCCCAACATGGGAGCCCGGTGGTGGGCAGCTATTTGTGTGTATTAGCCTTGCCCCAAAAGCCTACGGAAAGGTCATGTGGACATTCTTGTGGTTCCACAGAGTGGCCAGACAGATAGTTGGGAAGCAGCTCCAGCCGCTGGGAATAAATGAGGTCATTTAAAAAACTCAAGGAGAAGCTGGGTGCCGGTGGCTTACGCCTGTCATCCTAGCTACTCAGGAGGCTGAGATCTGAGGATTGTGGTTCAAAGCCAGCCCGGGGCAGGAAAGTATGTGAGACTCATCTCCAACAAACCATCAGAAAACCGGAAGTGGCGCTGTGGCTCAAGCCTTGAGCTGAAGAGCGGAGGAACAGTGCCCACACCCAGAGTTCAAGCCCCACAACCAACCAAAAAAAAATTATTTTGAATATCTCTGTGGTGGATACAGGTTGCTGGGCATGGTGGTGTGTCTATAGTCCCAGCTACATGAGAAGCTGAGGCAGGAAAATTATTTGAGCTCAGGAGTTTAAGGCCAGTCTGAACAATAAAGATTTTGTCTTAAAAAGAAAATAAAAATCTAGGGTTTACAAAGGGGCTGGCTACTTAGCTGTGCTACAGAGCACGCTTTACAAAGGCCCTGCATTTAGTCCCTAGCACTGAAACATGAGATACATAAAGGAAAAAAAAATTATGACAAGTGTGTAGTGTGTGTGATGTGTGTGTGGTGTAGGGGTTGTTCATGTGGTTTGAGTGTGATGTGTGTGTGGTTTGTAGGGTGTTTGTGTGGTGTGTGTGGTGTGGTTTGTGGTATGTATATGTGTGATGTGTGTGTGGTGTGAGGGGTATTTGTGTGGTTTGTGATGTGTGTGGTGTGGAGGGTGTTTGTGTGATGTGTGTGTATGCGTGGTGTGTGAGGTGTGTGTGTGATATATGTGTGATGAGGGGGTATTTGTGTGGTTTGTGTATGATATGTGTGTTGTGAGTGTATGTGGTTTGTAGGGTGTGTTGTACGTGCGGTGTGGCTTGTGGTGTGTATGTATGTGTGTGATATATGTGTGGTGTGAGGGGTGTTTGTGTGGTTTGTGGTATGTGTGTGATTCCTGAGGTGTATGTGGTTTGTGTGTGGTGTGGTTTATAGTGTGTGGGGGTGTGTGTGTGTGGTGTATGTGTGTGCCATCTTATACACTGTGTACCTCTCCCCAGAGTGCCACTTTGCTCAGCAGGAACCCCGAGTCTATCCTAGGTAGTGTCCGTGGTCTCTGTCCAGTGTGGAGGGAGCCTGGGGGGCCCCGGGGCCCCTGGGAATTGTGGGAACACAGCAAGTGGCTCTGGGGCCCAGGGGAAATGAGCAGACTAGACAGGGCTGATCTTTGGCAAGATAAACCAGACAGCAAATGGCTCTCCTGCCCAACTCCCCGAACAGCAGCTCTGGCTCTAGGCCTCTGCACTGCTCCATCTTCTTTTTCTTCTTCTTCTTCTTCCCATCTTCCCCTCCCTCTTCCTCCTTTTGTTTGTGCATGGTTTGGCTTTGCTTTTTCTTTCTCGGTGGCTGGGGAGGGATGCAGGGTGTCAGAGCGCTTCCTGGGCTCCAGCCTCACCTATCTTTTTCTGGTTGGACATAGTCCCAAGCTGGCCCCAGGTGTGAGGAGCACGCCCCTCCCCCCATTCACCCTCCGAAGAAGATTCTGTTCCCTCCACAGTGACGTATTTGTGACACAGGGAACAAAATGTTTGCCTCCACTTGTGGGGCTCTCTCTTCCCTTTGAGGGACAGAATGTGCTTTTCATTTGTGATAGTCGGGAAACAGTGTTTCCATCTCTGTTTTTCAGCCTCAAAGGACTGCACTTTGCTTTCAGCCCAGGCAGGAGCGAGAGGCAGTGTCATGTCAGAGGAGAGAGCTGGGGGCGGCAGGACACAGAAATTGCGCCATATTGTTACCTGGCTGGAGTGCTCCATCACACACAGGGTGGGGGAAGGGCTCCTTCCTCTCCCTCCAGCCTGGGGGGGGGGCGGGGCAGGGGCGCTTCAGGGGTCACACAGACACCCCAGGGCGACCTCCAGAGCCTCTTAGAGGCCATCACAGGCAGGGACACGAACCGCTGGGTGAGGGGGGGAGGGAAGGGATGGGGGAAGGGAAGATGCAAGGCAGACAGACATGATGATGATGATGATGATGATGGTGGTGGCGGTGGTGGTGGTGATGATGGCGGCGGCGGTGGGCAGTCCCTGACGCAGCTGCCAAATGTCTCCCTGCTTCGGTGAACCCCCTTCCCGCCCTCCCCCCCCCCCCCGCGGTACATCATGCACACCTCCCCATGCACACGGACACGCTGCAGCCTGGCAGTCTGACATGACGGCGGGCGGGTGGGGGCCTCCGGGGGAGGCCTCGGCGCACAGGCAAGGCCGGGGGGCGGGGGGGTCCTGAGGCCCAGGAAAGGGGGGTCGCAGGGAGGTGGGTGGGGCAGGGCTCCCCGGGAGGGGGAAAGCCATGGGGGCGCGGAGGTTTTCAGGGGCGAACAGACTGACGTGGCAGGAAGGGGGCTCCCGAATCTCCACCGCCCCCACCCCCACCCCCCAAAAAACGCGGGGCGCCCGGGGAAGGGCCGGGAATGAGCCGGGGGGGGGGGATGGATGGCGGCTGTGGAAAATACCTGGAGCCGGGGGGTGCCGAGCAGACCTGCGAGCCGGACCTGCCGAGAGGTCCTCCTGCCTGTCCGGGGAGCTGCCGTCCGGGGCTCAGCGACCGCCCTCAGGCCGCGGTTCCCCGCCGGAGTCGCGGCCGCCACGTCCGTGCCCGTGGGCGGCGCCGCTGTCCGGGAGCTGGTGCTGAAGCAGCGCCAGCGACGGACTCGTGCGCATGCGTCAGCTCCAGCCCGCCAGTCGCCGGGCGGGGCCGGGGAATATTCCAGCCAATAAGCTGGCGTCGGGGGCGGGGCCGGGGGCGGGGCCGTCCGAGAGCGAGGCTCGCTGCAGCGCCGCAGCGCGGGACCAGGGGGGCCTCTGTCTGTCACCGAGGCCGCGCGCTGCGGCACCGCGCCTCGCTCCTCCTGGCCGGGTCTGAGCGCTTGTCCTTAGGAGCCCGGCCGACTGGGGTGGGGTGGAGTGGGGGCGGGGGCTCAGGCTGCTCCTCGGGAACTGGGGTGCAGCGCCGGGTTAGAGATAAGAGAACCTCAGGATTTAAAAAGCAGCCTGCGTCTGTCACTAGCGCAGGCCCAGGGCGGGGGGGGGGGGGGGGGGGGAGGAGGGGGGAGGAAGGAGGGGGGAGGAAGGAGGGGGGAGGCGGGTCATTCTGAGTCTCCATTTCCTGGCTCCTCTCCTTTCCTGGCAGGGGGGGGGGGTAGGCATCCATCTGCTCAACTGGGTTTTTCCTTGCTGTCCATTTGGACTGGACCTGGCTTCTGCATCCCTCAGCCGCTGAGCCTCGATTTCGTGTATTATTATTATTGTTATTGTTATTAATTTTTGAAGTGGGCAATACCAGGAGGGGAGGATGGGGAGAGGGGAGGGAGAGGAGGGAGAGGAAGGAGGGATGCTCAGAGAAATGCCCAGCCCCCCCCACCCCCCATGGTCACCGCCTGGCCTGCCAGCCAGGCACTGCAGGTCTCCCATTTGGGAAAGAGAACACACACCAGCCATAGGAGAAGCCTGCGGGCCAGGGAGACCAAAAGGCCTGGATGTGGGAGGGTCTCACACCGCTGGCAAACGGGCTGTGGAAGCAGAAGGTGGGACAATCTGACAGTTTACCTGTCCTGAGTAGCTTACAGTTTGGTTGGAGGGATACAGGGCTAGCCTACAAATCGGTGCCAGCTGGGCAAGGTGTGGTCAGACCCCTGAGGTTCTCTGAAACTCGTGGCAGAGGGAGGGGTCCAGAGAGGAAAGGCTTCTGTCTTCCTAATAGGCCTAGAGACATGGCCTTTGCCAACACCCGGGGGTAGGAGAGAGGGAAGACATGGCTGTGTGGGGAGGAGTTAGGGGGTGTGATGAGAATTCAGGAGGCTGGAGAGTTGGGGCGATAGTGAGGTCCCTCTGGATGGCAGGGTGCCGGTTGGAGGCTCAGATATACAGGACTGAGGTGCGGGCTGGAGCCTGGGAAGGCTCCCCAGATCTAGATAGACGGGATCCGGTGGAGGTGGCTGGGATATACTTGAGGTCCGTGGATGAGAGTGGGCATATGCGAGAAGTGGAGGAGGAGGACCTTACACAGCCATTTGCTGTGGGCCCACTGAGTCAGGCTTCTGTGGATGCCAGGAGAGATGCCCCATTCCAGCAACAGAACCCAGAGGCCACAGTGTCCCCTGAGTGTCAAGTGAGGGGAAGGAAGGCAGACTTTCTTTTCTTTCTCTCTTTCTTTTAATAGAACATGGCCTCTAGGAGCCTGTTTATTAGGAAGAGAAGATTCTGGCTCAGGACCCTTCCAGATCAGCGGGGCTCCTCGGCATGTGGCCTGTTTCATCTTCCCTCAGTGGTGTGGGCCACAGTGCCTTGGACCATGGCAAGGGGGGTGTCCTCCAGGTCCCGGGGGGCAGTGGCCTGGGCCAGGGGGGTGTCCTCCAGGTCCCGAGGGGCAGTGGCCTGGGCCAGGGGGGTGTCCTCCAGGTCCCGGGGGGCAGTGGCCTGGGCCAGGGGGGTGTCCTCCAGGTCCCGGGGGGCAGTGGCCTGGGCCAGGGGGGTGTCCTCCAGGTCCTGAGGGGCAGTGACCTGGGCCAGGGGGGTGTCCGCCAGGTCCCGGGTGGCAGTGGCCTGGGCCAGGGGGGTGTCCTCCAGGTCCCGGGGGGCAGTGATCTGGGCCAGGGGGGTGTCCTCCAGGTCCCGGGGGGCAGTGGCCTGGGCCAGGGGGCCTGCAGGGTCCTGGAGGGCAGTGCCCTGGACCTGGGGGAGGAGGACAGTGACCCTGTGGAAAGCCAAATGAGCAATGTCAGAGTCCAAGGTCAGTGCCCAGCTCATTTGCAGTCATTTCTTCTTCACCCCACCTCTCCAGGGGACTCAGGACTCCTGAGTCTTGAGCAAGGGGTTGGAGTGGGGGGGGGGCTGGGGGGGAGGATTGGCAAGTGATGGCTCCCAGCCTCCCCCACCCCGTGTCCTCAAGAGGCTCTTGAGCACACAGCAGGCTGTAAAGGAGAGGGGCCTAGGTTTCCTGCTTCCCATTTCTTAGGCGAAGTGTGATTTCCACCCCTGCACCTCAGTTTATTCTCTGTGTAAGAAGTTCAATTATCTCACATTACCCCTTGCCTTGCAGAGTGATTAACAGCGGAACCCTGCTGGAGCCCAGGCTGACTGTACTTAGGAGCCAGGCTGGGGATGGAAGAGGCTTCAGAGGGGTCACTAAAAGCAGGGTGGGGGGGTGGGGAAGGTGGGGAGGGGGGAGGGGGAGGCAGTCAGCAGGTAAGGAAGATTCAGGAACTGAGGAGAAGTGGGGGGCGGCGGGAGAGTGGGAGGAGACCAAGGGAAGGAGATGGAAGATGTGTGTGTGTGTGTGTGTGTGCGCTTGTGTGCATGTTACACTTGCATATAGACAGCCATGGGCGTGGTTTGGAGCTGTGCAAACAGAGGAATGTATAGCATAGCGTGTGTGGTACCCGAGCCCCTGTCACCCCCGAGCGCATGCCAGACCCCAGAAATCAGGAAGAATAGTAAGGGAAGTGAAAGTTTTACTTCTCAGATAGAAGAGGGCTGCAGAGGGGCTGGGAAGGTGGCTCAGTGGTAGAGCGCTTGCCTTGCATGCTGGAGGCCCTGGGTTCGATTCCTCAGCACCACATAAGCAAAAAGAAAAAAGCCAGAAGTGGCGCTGTGACTCAAGTGGTAGAGCGCTAGCCTTGAGCTGAAGAGCTGAGGGACAGCGCCCAGGCCCAGAATTCAGGCCCCACGACCGGACCCAAAAAAAAAAAAAAGAGGGCTGCAGAAAGTGTGTCTTGAAACCCATGTTGGTTAGAATCGCCCCTGAAGCCTAAGATCAGGCCCAAGGAGGGCTGTGATCTTTGATACCGCACTAGGCCACCCAGGAGTCAGGGCCATGTGCAGCAGAGATGGGAGAAATACCTTCTCTGTGTTGCCCCCACCAGGGTCTGAGGAGGGCTTGGAATAATGGGTGGAGACAGTTAGCATAGGCCCCTGGGCTGGGTTTCCTGGGTCATGTGACAACATGCCCCATCTGGGCACAGAGGTGTCTACAAACAGCCACTTCCCTCCCTCTCTACCTCTCCTTCTAGGGCTCTCTTGTGGTGGACCCACAGATCCAGTTGGGTGCCCACAAGGGTGGAACGGAGGAAGGGTACAACCTGTGCCAGAGGCCCCACGGTGTGGCTGGGCCCTGGGTGTGAGCCAGCCACCCAGCCAGGCGGCGAGGCTAGCCAGGAGCGCAGGGCCGCGGCGGACAGGTGGAGACTCAGTGGGAGAGAGGATGGAGTGCTGGGCAGGGAGGGGAAGGAGACAGATGGCAGAATGGCAAGGAAAAGCTGGAGGGGGGGGGAGCCTGCTCCCGCCTTTTCATTTGGTGGAAGTGGAGGCCCAGGAAGGAGGTTTGGAGGATGTGGCCATTGGGAGGTCAGAGGGGAGAGGCTTGGGGGGACGTTCCTACCTTTGGACCTGTGGGGGAGGAAGGGGAAGGAAAGCAGCTTTGGTCATTTTGTTCGGCAGCATGGAAAAAAAAACTCCTGACCTCTTCCCACCCAGTCTCCCCCACACCCCCACCCCGCCAGGCTCCCCAAGAGGGCCAGCTGCCCATGTGCATGCCTTCATTCATCTGCTCCACAACACAACAGATGCACATGGAAAGTCAATACAGCACTCGCAGCGGGGCCCTGCGGGCTGGGCGCTGGCTCACTCCCAGCGAGGAGGTTGTGGGTTCTTGTTACACTCTGTGAGCTCTTCTACTCACCCTAGCCAAACCTCACGATGATGCGCTCACTGGCCCAAACCCCAACTCTTCCTCCTTCCAGCTCAAGGCCCACCCCCTCTCCTTGCCCCCTCCAGGAGGCCCTGTGGTCACCCTCCCCCACCCCTTTCCTCTCCTTCACCCCACGCTGCTGCTCACCTGGATGCATCTTTAGACGGCCAGAGCCGGCGAGTGACCCCCAGAAACACCTGTAGTTCGAGAAACACAGGTTTCGTTTACAGCAATCTCAAACTCAGTCTTTTTTCCTTCCCCAAGATGCACGCACGCACGCACGCACGCACGCACGCAGCCTCTGGCGGGATGCAGAGCCGCCCTCTGGGTGCAGTGGTGGAAAAGGGGTTTTTGTGCACATGGGGAGAGGAGACAAGGGATGCACCTGTCCCCAAGTCCCACACCCCTGTTCCTGATGTCGCCCCCTCTCTCCTTGCTCTCCACTGCTTCAGTCTGGAAGTGCGGGAAGACAGATGGACAGACATGCATACGGACACACAGTCACACACACCACAGCACAGGCCCACACACCCAGAGAGAGAACCAGTGTGTGCGGAGAGCCGAACCCCCCCTGACCCCCTTACCTGAGGGAAAGCTCAGCTCGGGACAGGAAGTCTGTGGCTCTGTCTGTCTGCAGCTATATTTGTGTAGGCCAGGGAGGGGCGGGGAGGGGTGAGGTATACCAGGACAGGTTGAACACAGGCACAGGTGAGTGAGGAGGGTGAGGCTCACCCTTACCGAGCAAAGGGCAGTGGGAGGAGGGTGGAGAAGGAGACGGCGATCCTGCCCTTGCCCTTTGTTGCCAAGCCCCAGGCTCAACTCTTAAATCACTGTCCAAAACAAGGAACTATCTGAGAACAGAAATCCCATAGAACCTAGGGACCTCCATTACCAGCTTTCCTCTCTCCCCGATCCTCCTCTCTAAGGCCTCTTGCTCGCACAGTGGTCTCATACGTAGTGAGCATACCCGCTGTCTAAGTCATCTTTGTATTCGTAGCACGCCATTCGTAGGTACCCAAGAAACATTTGGTAATGAATGAAAGGCTGGGGCTTGAACTTAGGGCCTGGGTGCTGTTCCTTTGCTCAGGGCTACCATTTGCTACCACTTGAGCCACAATTCTACTTCCTGCTTTTTTTTTTTCTTTTGGTGGTTTATTGGAGTTACGAGTGTCATGAACTTTCCTGCCCAAGCTAGCTTTGAACTGCAATCCTTAGATATCAACCTCCTAAGTAGCCAAGATTACAGGTATGAGTCACCTACACCTGACTAAGGCTGGAATTATTGTCCAATAAAAACTGTCTTCCATAGCTGGGCACTGGTAGCTCAAGCCTGCATTGCCAGCTACTCAGGAGGCTGAGCTCTGAGGATCATGGTTCAAAGCCAGCCTGGGCAGAAAAGTCCCCAGGAGTCTCTTATCTCCAATTAACCAGTCAGAAACTGGAAGTGGAGCTGTGGCTCAAAGTGGTAGAGTACTAGCCTTGAGCAAAGGAGCTCAGGAACAGCGCCCTGAGTTCAAGACCTACAACTGACAAAACAAACAAAGGTTGGCTTCCTTTTCTGCATTTTATATTTGTGAGGGATTTTTTTCCCCCTTTTCTTGTTGATATAATTTTATCTTTTTTTTTTTCTGGAAGAAGGAAGTGCCCCTCCTGTTCTCAAAATGCTGCTTCAAAACCCAGGACCTCAAAGGCCGCCTCCTCTGTGGCAGGCGGCTTCAGCGACTTCCAGGTTTCTGTGATTCCACCAAGAAGCGCAGGGACCAGGTGAAAGCAGAAGCCATTGTTTCCCTCCCACCTACGAAGAACCTTGTGAACTCCGTGTATTTGAGCCGCAGTGCATTTGGACGGTTAATAAGTAGTAAGGCTCAGGACGTAGCTCGGTGATAGAGCACCTGTCTAACAGTACCGGGCCTCAGGTTTGAACCCCATCAGCAAGGAAGAGGGAGAAAAACATACCCAAGAGAAGTGAAAACCCAGGTCTTCAGAAAGACTTGTGCGCACTGCTCATCATGGCCTTGGGAATAGCTGAAGTTAGATGATCCTTCCCTAAGTGAATTGGGCCTGCATGCAACAGAACGGTATTTAATATCAATAAGGGACGAACTATTGACACACATGTGTCCATTTCCACAGCACAACATGGCAGAGCTCACCGTAATTGCATGATGTAAGAACTGGAGGTGTTGCTTAAGTGGGAGAGGGTCTACTAAGGTGAAGCTGAGTTCAAATCCCAAGTATTGCCAAAATGTGTGTGTGTGTGTGTGTGTGTATCTGTTTGTGTGTGTGTGTCTGTGTGTATCTGTGTGTCTGTGTATGTATGTGTATATGTATATGTATGTGTATATGTGTATGTATGTGTGTCTGTGTGTATGTATGTGTGCATGTGTATGTGTATGCGTATGCATGTGTGTATGTGTATGTGCGTGTTTGTGTATGTGTCTGTGTATGTATGTGTATATGTATGTGTATATGTGTATGTATGTGTGTCTGTGTGTATGTATGTGTGCAGGTGTGTATGTGTATGCGTATGCATGTGTGTATGTGTATGTGTGTATGTGCGTGTTTGTGTATGTGCATCTGTGTGTGTGTGGGTGTGTGTGTGTGATGACAGCAGAGCAGCAGTTACCTGGACTGGGTTTTGTGGACATGGCCACTATCTTGATTGTGGAAATGATGTCACACACACACAGCAAACACCATGTGGTTTACAGCCTGTCAACTGGAGTTCAATGACAACTGTAAACAAAACAAGACAAAACACTCTCAGAAAACAAGTTGAAAAGGGAGGAGGAGATCTCCAGGGTGGGCAAGGAATGATCTGCTAGTGAGGCTTTGCCGTTCTCGGGCTTCAGAGACATGGAGAAGTTGTCTGAGGTCGTCCAGACAAAGCATTGCTAGCTGGAGTTAGTTCAGATTTCGAGCCACCTGCTTCTGGAGCCTGAGAAGCTTTATGGAGCCTCTGACAGACTCCAGCCCGCTTTGGAAGTGTCCTAGGTGAGAGGACTTTGCTTTACGACCAGGCGGGGAGCCATTAGTCTTTTGTGTGCACATTCATTGTCATCATTGGGAGGGCTGAGATGGCTGCGAGGGAGGGCAGAGTCCTAGGAGAAGTTTACAAAGGTGGGGTACCTGCCTGCCCCTCCTCCCCCGTCCAGTCCTCATTGGGCAGAGGGCACCTCCTGTGTCCACTAGCACCTTCCACACCTGCCCTCCAAGCCCTCCTCTTCCAGAAACCTTCTCTTCCCTTCAGAGATCCTGAGGCCACCACCCCTCACCCCTGGCCTTGGACAGGGACCTGAAAAGAGAGGCCTTTGAGTGGGAGGGTTGGGGGGGGTGAAGGGAAGGGTGGGCAATTCTTGTTACTCTGAAGGAGGACAGGGTGATAGCTGGACGGGGCGTTCAAGCCCAGCCTATGCAAAGTTTGCAAGACCCCCATCTCAAACACCAGCTCCGAACAAGAGGGCTGGAGACAGAAGCTCAAGTAGTGGAGGCCTTACCTCTCAAGCTCGAGGCTCTGGGTTCCATCCTTAGGACGGTAGAGAGAGAAACAAGGGGATCGGAGCCCACGAAGGTGGCGGAAGCTGTGCTCTGGGCACCAGGCACAGGATGCAAGTTGCAGATGTGGCGAGAGTCGGGGGGTGAGCCCCTGGCACTGGGTGTGGCGGAGGTGACATTTCTGGGGTGAGGAGCTTCTCAGAGGCCATGGGTGGAGGCGTTTTAGAGGGGCCGTGGACCCTCTCTGTGAGAGGAAGCCAGACACCCAGCATGACAAAGGCAACTGCACCTGCGCAGGCTCAGATGGCAGTGATTTCGTTACCTGTGGCCGTGGCATCCCTTGGTGCTTTCCCTGGTGGGCACTTGTGGGGGCTGCTCTTGCCCTGCCTCCCACAGCAGCCCCCCAACACACCCCAGGACTGAAGTGCTCCCAGCACAGGATGGGTGAAAACCCCCAGCCAGGACCTCCCTGGCCTCGGCAAGGCCTCCTCCCTCTGCCCCTCCTCAGCAAGCCCTGGCCGGGGCTCAGCTTCCGCCCTCCTCCCCACCCCTCCCCAGCCTGTGGGGTTCCCAGGCCCACTTCAGTCCCTCCACCACCGCTTCCTCCAGGCCTTGCTTCCATGAGGCCTTTGTTTGACCTTCGTGCTCTTGCTGGCTTTGTGCCCAGCGGGGGACATCACCTCCTTTTATAGAGGTGACAGAGAGATAAGGGCCACAACTGATAAGGAGGGAGGAGGAGGCGGAGAGGAGAATCTTCCACCTGCCAGGCCCGGTGCCAAGGCTGAGAAGGGAGAGGCTCAGAGCCCTTGTATTCCGTGGCTCCCCGCGCCCCTCCCCCTCCCCAACCGGAAGTGGTGACTAAGCCCTGCTCCGCGCTGCCGCATCCTGCATCCGCTGCAGCCCTGGCCTCCACCGTCCCTCAGTGGCCTTCCTCCCCACGGGCCTCCTTCCCCTTCTTCTCAGATAGGAGTCTGCTGGGCAGTCACCCTGTCCCCAGGGTTGGCTCTAGCTTTGTGCTCCAAATGCCATCAATGACATCCTAAAGACTGGGTCCCCGGCGGGGTGTGGGGTAGGGGGCACTGGCTTGCCCGGGCCGGTGTCTGGGGAATGGAGAAGCAGCCAGGAGGGCGGTCACCCAGGTCCATGCTCTGCGGTGCTGGGCCAAATGGCAGACAGTGAGGACTCAGCCAACCCAGCAGCCGTGGGCCAGCTGGTGAAAGACACGTTAAAATGACAAAAGCAACAAGCGCAGGGCAGGATGCCAGCCGCCTGGCTTCTAGTCTCACGCACAACACGTTGAAGCTGTGCAGCCCAGGCCCTCTCTGGGCTTAAATAAGGCTTTTGACAAGAGGATGACTGCTGGAGTCTGGTGGAGATGGGCGGTGATTGGAATGACAGGCGAGGGACACCCCGGGGAGAAAGAGGCAAGTGCTGCCGCCCCCCAGTGGTAGCACTGAGCAACAGCACCGTGATCTCCTAGAGAATCAAGTGCTAGTTCTCCTGTGGGTCCTCTGTCACCCGCTGCCATGTGAGTGCTGCGTGCATCCTGGGTGGATGAAGGAGACGCACAGCCTGTGGATCGCACGCCCACAGCGTGGCACCGCACCACGCCGGCTCCTCGTTCTCTTTTTCACTCTTTAGGAGCCCACAGGTGGGCATGGGGCCCCAAGGCCCTTGGCACAGCACTCCTGCCCTCTGACAGCCTCTGCCCAATGGGCAAGCCGTCAGGCAAACCGCAGGTTCTGGGGAGAGTGGTAGAATGCGGGGGCAGCTGGGAGGCATGACGCATTGCGTGAGTAACGCTTGGACACGTGGTCAGCGAGCACGGCTCTCTCTCTCTCTGTGATGTGAGTGTTTGGCCCGTGGGCCTCGAGTCTGATGGGGGTGGGAGCCCTCCTGTCTTCCCACAAGGTGAAGGGATGGCCGGACTCCTGCCTGTCCCTGCGGCTCCTGGTCCCCCTGCTGGCTGGGAATGAGGTTACATCTTTCTCCTTAGACCTGGTGGTCCAGGGGCCTGAGTTCCAAAGAAGGTAGAGAGCCTCAGGTCTCCCTTCCAGACAGGGGATCTGGGGGCTTCTGAGCTGAATCACACAGCATGGGGCAGGGTGCAGAGGGGGTGCGAAAAGAAGTGTGTGTGTGTGTGTGTGTGTGTGTGTGCAAAGGTGGGGGGAGCCTGTGTATGGAGCCTGGTGCGTCACTGGTGCTGGGAAAGCAGACAAGTCTGACTCAGTGGGAACATCCGGCAGGAAAGGAGGGGACCACAAGCAGTATTTGCAGGCAGGATGGGAGCTCTGGGCATGCTGGATGGGGTGTGGGGCCAGGAGGGAGACTGGACAGGAAAGGGGCTAAGCGTAGGGATGGGAGCGGGGGGGGGGGGGCCTGGGCAGGGGAGGTTGGGCCTCTGCTCCCTGTGCAGGCTCTGAGGGGGGAGAGAAGGCAGGGGGCTTTTCTGTTCCGTCAGCAGAGGGGAAAAGCCCCCGTGAGGAGGCGAGGAGGCAGACCTGGCTGATTTGGGAAATGCCGCAGGGCCTCCTCTTAGTGTCTGGAAGCCAGAGCCTTGTGATGATGGGACTAGAACCAGGCACTGGGAATACAGATGCCAATCCTGGCACCCCAGCGTTGGACCTAGGCCTGAGCTAGGACAGCAGCCGGAGCCACATGAGGACAATTTCTGGGGAGGTGATCCTGAGAAGAGACACTGCTTCCTCTGGGTCAAAGAGGCTGCAGGGGTCAGCCTCGAAGTGCAAGGCCGAGAAAGGCGCAGTGTGAGGACTCCACAGAGGGAAGGCTTCCGCGGCCCTGAGCTATGATGCTCAGGCCCAAGCAGGCCCTGGCTAGCTTCTTGGTTGCTACCAGTGACTTAACAAACCCAAATGGAGGGCTGGGAAGGTGGCTTAGCGGTAGAGTGCTTGCCTAGCACGCACAAAGCCCTGGGTTCAATTCCTCAGTACCACATACACAGAAAAGGCTAGAGTTGGTGCTATGGCTCAAGCAGTAGAGCGCGAGCCTTGAGCACAGAGAGGCTCAGGGACAGCACCCAGGCCCTGAGTTCAAGCCCTAGGACTGGCAAAAAACAAAACAAAACAAAAAGACCCCAACGTTGACCTGGGGAACTGGCAGGCTGGGAGGGGTTGCTTGAGGTGTGTGCTGCGGGAGTTTTCTTTTTTATAGGTGGGCTCAGGCTGGGGTCCTACTGGGACCAGGCCTCCGGTGTGGCCCGGACCTGTGGTGGAGAACGCCCTGTCCATCTGTCTGGAGATACCAGGGCAGGGTGGGGCAAGGTGCTGGGCCGGCCCAGCTGGCTGCCAGGGCCCTGGTTCTCCAGTGGAAGGGAGGGGGTGGCGGCCACAGTGGTGCTGGCTGGAAGCCCAGAGGCGTCTTTTGTAATCACAACATGATCTCGTGTGCTGAGCCGCGAAGCCGGCAGGGAGAGGCGGACCGAGGCCTGGCTCCGGTGGTTCTCCCGGCTTGCTCTGGAATTCTCTCTGAGGCCCGCCGCTACCATGCACTCAGATGTGAGTGGCATCTTGCCATTGGCAGGGGGCTTCTTGGGGCTGGGAGGAGGCCAATCTAATAAGCAGTCACGTTCGGGAGCAGCTGGGGACAGCCGAGGATGGCCGGGCTGGGGGCGAGGGGGCAGTGATAGGGCAGGTGGAGGGCTGGGTTGAGGTGTCGGCCATATCAGAGACCCGGCAGCCAGCGAAGCCTGCAGGGCCCCGGCCTGCTAGGGCAGGTTCCTTGGCTGGAGCTCCCTGTCTGCCCCCCTCGGCCGGCAGCTCAGGCCTGCAGGGCCAGGCCCGTGGGAGCAGCTCCTTCCTGCAGGCCGGGTGCAGGACTGGGAAGAGGGATCTGGGGCCTGGTAAGCTGAGGACAAGGCTAGCACCTCTTACCCCCACAATGATTCTGGATTTGAGAAGCAAACAGCTCCCCCCCTCCTCGACCTCCTGAATCCCCAGCCACGGCCAGCCGGGCTCTGCTGCCAGAGCCATTTTTAACTCCCATTCCAGGCGGCTCACAGGAGCTCCCTGGAGAGCCCGGGGGAGGGGAGGCTGCTGCGGCCTCCCGGAGCTGCGCCCTGGGTTAGCAGACTTGACTGGAGCCTCCAGGAGGCAGAGACAGACAGGCAAGCCCAGCAGGGACACAGGTGGAGGACTTGTAGCACCACCTCCTCCACACAGCCCTCTTCTCGCCCGTGTGGTCTGATTTTGTGGAGCCCCTTGGGTGGCATGGACAAGGCCAGGTGGATGTGATGGTTGGGGTACCCCTAAAGGGGAGATCCAGCAGTCAGGAGCCTGATTCCCTGCTCTGCATAGGGGTTGCCCAGAACCGAGTCCCCCATGCACAGACAGGAGAAGGACGCCGAGCTGGACCGGAGGATAGTTGCCCTGCGCAAGAAGAACCAGGCCTTGCTACGCAGGTACCAGGTGAGTGGCTGAGGACCCTCCTGGTGGGGGCGCCTGCCTGCCTGCCTGCCTGTGCGGCGGCTACCTGTGGGCACAGGAGTCTGCATAGCCAGGGTTGGAGTGGTCATCGGGTCTGTCAGAAGTTTGGTCAGGGTCTTAGGCACCTCTGATGTCCCACGGGTGTCCCTCTGTGTAGGCCCATCTGTGTCTGTGTCTCTGTGCGTCTGGGGGGCGTGGCCTGCGCTGATCTAGGCCCTCTCACAGGAGATCCAGGAGGACCGACGGCAGGCAGAGCAGGAGGGCATGGCCGTGACCACCTCCGGGCCCCTCCCACCCGACAGCCTCACCGTCACCATCAGCCAGGTCCCTGGAGTAAGCCTCGCCCGAGATGGGGGTGGGGGGGTGGGGGAGGTAAGGGGTGGGGGTGGGGGGGCTCTTGTCCCTCTTCTTCTACCTGCCATTCCGGGAGGGGCCACCAAATAGACGCTTCCTTGTAACTTGTTCTACTCCCACAGGCCTGCACCTATGCCCTAAAAACACAGGCTGCCCTCCCCCGCCCTGCTCCACTCCCGGCCCTGGGCTCCCTGCACAAAGTGGGGGTGGGGGTGGGAAGGAGAAGTCGGGGCTGAGGAGGAGGGGGGTGTCCGCGGGCCATGGGGGATGGTGAGCCATGGCGGCATCTTGGGCGGCGGATAACCTAATGCCATTGGCATGTGAATGCCCACGGAGCCAGCTTCTCCGGCAGCATTCCAGGGAGGGCCCAGGGTGGAGCCCAGGCCTAGGGAACCCCCAGAAGCCCCAGCACCCTAGTCCTGAGGACACAGGCCCCCTCATCCCGCAGGAGAAGCGCGTGGTCAGGAACTGGGCCAGGATCCCCCTGGGACCCGGCATGGACCATGAGGTGCTTGAGGATGAGGAAGCCGAGGGTCACGTGGGTCCGTTCTGCATGGGGGACCGCGTGGAGCTGGCCGTGACCATGGAGAACAAGGCCAAGGTGAGCGTGTGGGTCCTGGTGGCCACTCCCCCACCCCCCACCCCTCCCCACCCCCGGCTCTGCCACAACCCTTACGTTCTCTCTTTCCAGGCCAAACGGATCGTAAGTGAAAAGCCCCCCAGAGCAAGGAACCAGGGCCCAGAGGGGTCGCCCAGTGGGGCCCGGCCCCAGAGCTCCCCTGTGCACACAGCCACCAGCTCCGATTCTGCAGGGAAGGTACGTCTCCCAGAAGGGCTGGGGCATCAGTCAGCGGAGTCAGGCCTCTGTCCCTCATTGGCAGGGATGTGACGTGGGCAGTGACAGCAAGAATGCCCACCCCGAGTCTCCACTTTGGGTGAGGGCCTTGCCACGGCGGGAGGGTGGCAGGGACTGGCCTTGTGCCAGCTGTGACCTCTAGGTGGCAGCAGCCCCCTGTCTTTCCTCTTTGCTCACAGCCTCTGGGTGCCCCTTTACCCCCCGCCATGCTGGGCCAGTCCATACACCAGCAGCGTGTGGTATGGACGGTGCCAGGCAAGGTGCCACCGCTAGCCTAAGGAGATGATGCACAGAGAGGCCAAGCCACGTTCTCCAAACACAGCCAGCATGTCCGGCACTCTAGAGATGATGGGCCACCGTTGAGAGAGGAAGGGGTTGCTTGGTAGAGTTGCTCCAGCCTCCACTCCAGCCCCTTTCCCACCCTGCCGTGTGGTTCTCCTTGCAGGGCACTCGGGATTCCCACCACCTAGGCCCAGCCCCCCGACAGCCAGTGCGGCCGCCCCGGGAGGCAGACTGGGACTATGTCCAGTGGAAGCAGGAAAGGGAGCAGATCGACCTGCTCCGCCTGGCCCGACACAGACATGCACAGGGTGACTGGCGCCACCCGCGGGACCTGGACAAGGCCAAGCCCACGTGGGTGGCAGCGCTAGCAGCCTGCTGGGCTGACGAGCTTGGAGGGCCGGGCTGACCGCGGTGCTGGTTTTGGAGAGAGAGGGCACACCCTGGGCAGGCCCTGGGATCAGGGATGTGTCCTCTGCTCTCAGTGCTAGGGTGGGACCAGGAGGGGCGGAGTCCGTATGGGGCCTGCTGCAGCCACCAGCAACCTCACCCCTTCCTTGATCCACACAGGCTACAGAACTGCAGCAAGCCCAATGAAGACGGTCCAGCCAGGGGCAGCAGAAGGGGTGAGCCAAGACTTGCTCTCCTCTCCCGGCTCTGCCATGTCTTTATACACCGCCCCCCTCTCCTCCCCCCCTTTCCCCCCCTCCGATTGAGACAGGTCTATTCCGTCCAGGCTGGTCTGGACTGTGAGCTCAGCCTCTGGAATGCTGGGGTTACACGTGTGCACCACCGTTCTCGGCTGCCTCCTTCCACTGCCTCCACCTTTTCTTTTCTTTTCGCCTGGCCTGAGGCTTGATCTCAGGGCCTGGGCACTGCCCCTGAGCTGCTCTGTGCTCAAGGCTAGCCCTCTACCACCTGAGCCACCACACCACCTCCAGCTTTTCCTGAGTTGTGTTTTTTTTTGGGGGGGGGGTGGGGAGGTAAGAGTCCCACAGACATTCTTGCCTGGGCTGGCTTTGAACTGCGATCCTCAGATCTCAGCCTCCTGAGAAGGTAGGATTCCAGGCGTGAGCCACCAGCACCCTGCTATCTCCCCACTTTTTAATACTGTTCACCTCCTGCTTTCTATCTCTGTCTCTTGATGTCCTACTTTGTTCAGAGCTGAAAGGAGGCATAGCACATCTTCCTTCCTGTCCTTCCCCTTCTCACACTGTCAGAACCATGCTGCTTGCTGGGGCCAGTCGATGCCTGCCCTGGGGTCTTCAGGATCTTCACAGAAGCTGATACTGATCAGGCTGAAGTCTCAGTGGCTCTCTGGCCTGCTGCTGGAACAGCTTTGTGTATTTCTGGCACCCTGATTCCACAGCCATGGCAGCTGAGGCCCTGCTGGGCTGATCAAATCTCCCCAGGCCCCAGCTCTTTTGGGGAGACAGAAAACCCACAAGTGGATGAGGACTGGTAGCCTCCTGTGCTGGAAGAACCAGGGTTTCTGCTTTAGGTCACCACACTCTTTCCCCGTGTCCCTTGTCCCCTCCTTAGGTCCCAGGACCCACAGGAAGCCACAGACCCCCCTGTTGACCCCTGAAGGAAAAGGTAAGTTGAGAGGAGGAGAGGAACAGGGTTCCTCGGGCTGATGGAGGCCCCAGTGGCGGATCCTCTTCTCTCCTTGACTTGTGGGCCATGTCTTGCAGGTCGGGGTGGACAACCTGGCAGGCCTTGCGTGGCATCAGCCACAGGCAGCAGAGCCCAGGGGAAGGAGAGGCTGACCGGCAGGGCCCGAAGGTAACAGGTGGCTGGGAACAAGAATCAAGGCAGGCATCTAGGCGTCCTCATTTCCGGGACAGGCCCAGATCCAGATGCCTGCTCTGTCCCCTGGGTCCCTGCCTCCTGTGTGACTTGCTGCCTGGCGCTGGCTAATGACAGGCAGAGAAAAGCCACCAGCAGAGGCAGCAAGAGCCCCAGAGGCCCTGGGGGACGCTGGAGTAATTACAGCAGCTCCCTCCCCGGGGGAAGGGTGGCTTTTCCCGGGGCAGTGCAGGCTGGGGCAGGCCTGAGTCCCTGTGGAACTCAAGATGCATCAGGCTGGGCCACGAACAGCAGCTGGGGACCCACCATGGGGCAAGGTAGGTGGCATTCAGAGGAAATGGCTGGGCTTCGGGAACAAGGCCGGGCGAGCGCCCAGGAGCTTCGCTCTGGCTCCAGGCCTGCTCTGAAACCACCGGTTCTAGCGTATTGCTGGATGCATGGGCCCTTGTTGGCTATGGGAAAGGGGGGTCCAGGGAAGTAGGGTGAGGGGCCAGCTGAGGGCCTACACCTGCTGCGTTCCTGCAGGTGGGACCCGAAGGAAGAGAAGGAAGAGCCGCAGGGTGGCCAGGTGGGTACTCGGGCCTCGGATGGGGCATCCTGGGGGCACAAGCCTTGAACTGAGCCGCCAGCTGGTCGGTCTCCCCTCTCATTTCAGGGAACTCCTGCTGCTGAGGAGGAGCATACACAGAGGCAGAGCAAGACAGAGCCAGGCAGACTGGAGACACCCCCAGCTTCCAGCCCAGTCCCAGCGTCCCCAAAGCAGCCGGCAGGGGAAGCAGGAGTCTCGGCCGCCCTTCCAGCCCCTGGCTCTCCACAGACACCTGACTTGGCACCTCTCGACCTGTCTCTAGGAGGAGCCAGAGAGGGCGCATGCGTGCTCGGTCCAAAGTCAAGCCACCAGGAAGGTCCAGGGGCCTGGCCCGACGGTCCTGAGCAGCAGCCCCTGGGGCGGAATGACCCCCAGCCCGGGCTGCAAGTTCAGACTCCTCCTGAGTCAGAGAGGGAAGCAGGGGTCTCAGAGCCCAGAGAGGATAGGGCTGGGCCTCCGCAGAGCCTGGCCCCTCGAAATAGGCCTTCCAGAGGGACGGGGCAGAGAGGGAGAGGCCCGGGTGCGAGGAGCAAGACAGGGGGGCCTGGTCCTCCAGGAAAGTGCTGAGCAAAGCTCCTGCCGTGGGGAGTCAGCCTGGGACAGAGGAGGGAGGCACTCAGTTAAGTGTCTTCTGAGGGACCTGGGTCCGGTTGTGGGTGGTTTGTGTCCATCTGGCTGAGCAGCGTGGCTAGCTGTCCAGCCGGGCACCCCGTGAGGGCAAGGAGGCTCATGTGGCCCCTCCGGGCCGCTCCCCATGCACACAGGGGTTTTTGTTTTTCCTGTGTGAACACGGTCCCCGGTGTGCAGACATTCTGGTATTCCTGACCCAAGTCTGCCAACTGCCAGGTCGTGACTTCAACAGCACTCGCCTCGGGCTAAGCCCAGCCCCCGTGTACATGCAGTTTCTGCTTCCTCGGTTCCAGGCGGACAGCCTGGCTAGCAGTCCCTTCTCCGGCCTGTCCCAGGATGGCCACGCAAGGGGCAGTCCCTGGTTCAAACACCACCGGCCTGCTTCCTCGCACTATGGACTACAAGGCTGAGAGCCAGGGAGGTCTCACTCTGCCAGGGCCCGGCCTGCGAGTAGAGCTGGGGTCTTCTCTGGAAAGAGATTCCCCCTCTCTGACAAGGGGAGGGCTCCCCGGACCTCAAGCAGAGTGGGAGAGCTCCCTGGCGGGCAGACCCCTTCCCACACCCAGGTCAGACATCACGTGCACCCCGAGTGGAGATGAGGGCCTGGCCCAGCCACCCAGGGTCATTTCCTGCCCTCTCCTCTTCCCTCCCCCCTCCCCCACACACTCCCCAAGCAAGTGACAAGCAAGAACTCAGAGGGACCGCAACTGCAGCTCCAGCTCCGGAAGACATCAGGACTTGTTCCCCACCCCCCAACTTAGTCCTCATTTCAGCCCCTCCCCTGAGGCCCACGGCTGGTGAATTATCCAGACTCTGCACAAGCTGTGGCTCCCTTTCAACAAACATTTCAGTAACCAGCCAGTGGGCGATGGTGACTGCCGGCCCAGCCCTGCCCAGCGAGAGGGAGGAAAGCGCCCCACCCCAGGCAGTGAGGCCGGACCCTGGGAGCTGTTCCTAGCTGTAGGTGCCTGGTAACCTGGGGCAGGACGCTGGCTGGGGGAGATGACCGGGACCCAGCCCCCTCTGCCTGGCAGACAGCGGTGCCCCTGTGGATCCTCTTTGGAAGAGCCCAGGGAGGGCCTACAGGGTGGAGTCCCCATCTGGGCTTTTTGATGGGCTGTGGACCTCACCCCATGGCCTCTACTTGGGGAAGGGCCTCTCTTCGGCCCAGCTTGAAGGACTCTGCAGGAGTCGTCATGAGAGGAGTGGCTCAGGTTCAAACACAGTAGGTCTGGGGAGAGCCGGGAAGTCCGCATTTCCATAATGGACCTCGGCTCAGGCTTAGGCTGCTGATTCCTACAGAGGCAGCGGCAGAGTCTGGACTCTGAGAGTGGGTTTCTGGCTATGCGGTAGAGTCGGGTGGGAAGCAGAGGCGAAGAGGAAGCTAGCCAAGGGGTGCACTGAGTGAAGGGGTGAAGAGGTTACCGTGGGGTCCATCAGAAACATTTCTAGGCCAGGGACACGCCTGGGTCGGGTGGCGGCTACAAGCTCAAGTCAAGTCTCTTGCCCCTCAATCATACACACGTATGCGTGCACACATGAACACATGCGTGCATGCATACGTACATTCATCCCTACATGTATGGCTTTGGAGTGTGCCGTTCACCTTGTGGCTTGTGACTCCCAAAGGCAGGCGCTGGGCAGGCCCAATACTGGAACGCGGATGTCTCCAGAAATGACTAGCCTGGGGACGGACTGGGGTGGGGGGCGGGCGGTGCTGCTCCAGTAGTTTGGAGCAGGCTAGGCCTTAGAAAGCTCTGATGGGCTCGATCTGAACCCTAGGCCAGTCATTTGGCAGCGGGGTGGCCTTGGCCAGTTGTAACCTCTATGGCCTCAGTCTCCTTATCTACAAAACGAGGCTGAAGAGCAGAGTGTGGGAAATATACACAGCGCAAAGGACTCTGGGAGCAGCCTGGCCCACAGAAGGCCCTTGGTGAATGAGCTAAATAAATGAAGTGGCCGTGTGGTGTGATCTCCTGTGTGTCATCTATGGTTTCCTTTACCTTCTCTTCTGCCCTCATCTGCACTGGAGGAGGAGATCAATGCTCTACCAGGGAAAAGAGGGATGGTTTATAACACTCATATCCCCTCCCTAGTGATCTACAGGAGTCTGATGCTTGGTGAAGTGCTGGAGGCGTGTTCTTGCCTTCAGACCCATCTTCTAACTTGGCATGCTGGCTCTTGAGCCGAAGGGTTCCTTTCCTCTTCTGTTTCTATCAGGAGCGGTCTTACAAACTTATACCATAGGTTTTGTTTCTTTACTATCTTCCCCTAGAAACCAGCTCCCCTCTATGGAGTTTGCTCTGTGCCTCTCAGACTCGAGTTTTACCCTGAAAAGAGCATATCACGATTTGTGTTTTCTTGTGTGGCCACGTGGGCATTCTTGCAAGCCGGGTCACCGACCAGGGCGCAAGCCTGAAGGTCTGACCGTGAGTCACCTCCAGCTCTGCCTCCAGCCTCAGGGGCAGGAGCATCAACAACACAGGGCAAAAATTCTTCCTGGTCACGTGGGGCTTGTTTGGGGGACAAAACAGGAGAGGTATCAAGAGAAAAGACTAAAAATACCATCTCCTCCTGCCTCTGTGTCATCTATCAGTGTCCACAGACCTTGCCAGCATCGTCCACGCCGGGGTTATCAGGGCTCCCGAGGAAGGACAGATGGTGGGGGTGACCATTACCCCACTTCGGGCGCATTTCAGGGCTGGGAAGGGCAGGGAGATTAGCTAGCAGGAAGCACGCAGGGACGGGAAGGAGGCTGCTTTCTCTCAACAAGGCTGGGTCCACACCACAGCCCTCATTAAGCACCCGCCTGACGCCAGGGAAATGAAATAGCACAGGCCTGGCACCACCGGGAACAAACGTCGCACCCGATGCTCCTTTTAAGGACTGGATGGAGCTTCAGCAGGCTGGGGCGGGGCAGGAGGTGAGGTACACACATCAGTACCTTTCAGGGAGAAGGAGGGGGACTCTCTGGCCTGCCTCCCTCTTAACAAGCTCTCTAGGGCAACTTCTCCAGCAACTGTCAAAAATAATGGGCAAGGTAGGATTTTTTTTCCCTCCTCTCACACACCCTGGGGACACACAGTGCTCCCCCCCCCCCCCCCCCCCGGCCCCAAGCAGGGCGGCTGGCTCCAGCCAAGAAAAAGATCGAAAGTCACCTTGATAACCAGCTGTCAAAACAGAAATATCCTGCCGGGCACGGGCACCCCACGGCTCAAGCCTGTCATCCTAGCTACCAGGACACTGAGATCTGAGGATCATAGTTTGAAGCCAACCTGGGCAGGAAAGTCTGTGTGACTCTTATCTCCATTTAACTAGGAAAAAAAAAAAAAAAGCCAAGTGATAGGGAGTGCTAGCCTTAAGCAGAAAAGCTCAGGGAAAGTACCTAGGTCCTGAGCCATGTCCCAAGATTGGCACAAAACAAAACACAGAAATATCCGAACCATGGGCTGGGCGCTGGTGGCTCACACCTATAATCCTAGCTACTCAGGAGGCTGAGAGCTGAGGATCATGGTTCAAAGCCAGCCTGGGCAGGAAAGTCCGTGAGACTCTTATCTCCAATAAACCACTAGAAAACTGGAAGTGGCGCTGTGACGCAAGCGGTAGAGCGCTTGCCTTGAGCTGAAGAGCTGAGGGACAGCGCCCAGGCCCAGAGTTCAAGCCCCACGACCGACAAAAATAAAAAAAAATATATATATAGATAGATAGATAGATAGATATAGATATAGCTATATATATACATCTGAACCGTAAGTTATAAAGTCACAGGGGAAGGCTAGGCCTGTGGTTGTCTGAGAATCTCCTAGAAGGCCAGGCTTCCTTGGATGCCCATTCTGTTGTTCTGCGGTGGCATGGTGTGCCATGCTCCCAGCTGCTGCTGCTGCCGCCGCCACTACCACCGCAGCTGGTTGGGACACCAGGGGCCCATCCGCACCTCCCTCTTCACAGTTCTTTCCATGCATCATCTCCCCAATGGTTCAGACATGTCCTTGAAAACATATTACCCCAGGCACTGAGGGTATTACTTAGAATCTTATTGTAATTTAACTGCCAAACGACTGCAAGATCAGAAAGCTGAAATGAAGAAATCAGAGCTGTTTAGCACAGGAAGTTTGTGGTGAGCGTGAACTGATCGCTTCTCCAGCTGACCAGGCATGGGGAGCTGGCCGGGTTTCCTCAACTCCCATGCCGGGTGCCAGGACTGCATCCTCTCCAAGGATGGACAGCCTGGTAGATTCTGGGTGTGTGACAATGAGAGACTCTTCTTGTTTTTGTTTTTAAATTAGCTACTAGAGGGCTGGAAGAGCACGGTGCAGGCTTTCTGGCAACGGCAAACCACAGGCTATGTCTGTAAGTGAAACAGATGTGACCCAAACAACAACCACCCCCCAAAAAAACCTGTCAACAGAGCAGCTATTTTTATAGCTCCATGTTGGGCGGGAGCAGAGCGGAGGATGAATGGGTCATGTGGACCCTGTTAAGCCCCGTAAGCACTGCGTGGAACATGGTCACAGATTTCTGGAACCTCGAAGGGCAGGAAAGCCAGGCCTCAGTTCCTCCAGTTGGAAACAAAGAACTGAGGACGGAGGCGAAGAGCAGCTTTGAGCTGTCACGGACCCAGACTCGATGATACGCCGTGGATGCAAGTTCTCACATCATGGCTGATCCACCCAACACGGCGATCTGCACATTTTGAGCCCCTAACGACTGCTCTGTGCCAGCCACTGAGAACTGGCCATGAGAAATGGCCAGGGCCAGTGAAGCCCTCCCTCCATTCAGGGAAGCCCCCCCCCCCAAGAAAAACCCCAAAGTACACTTGTCACCCTTTTGTTACTGAACTGCAATTCCAGAAATACCTCCATTGGGGCAGAGTAGCTGCGATAGCCCTAGAGTTCCAGACCTGACCTTCTGGTCCTCCTTAGAGACATGTAGGAACAAGTAGACACTGTGCATCACAAAATAGGATATAAATACTTGACTGAAGAGCACACTGTCTTAGAATTCCCCAGTGAAAACTGAAAAAGAAGGTAGATAGAGAAGCTTCCAAAACCACATAGAAACCTACAGCTGTTGGCAAGAGAAATGTTTCTTATGCTTAAAGCGACAGCGAGACACTTTCCAGCACGGGATAATCCATGGAGGAAAGAGAAGCTAGCCCTCACCAGCCAGTCCGAAGGGCTCCCCGACCCCGCGTCTTCTTAAAATAAACCCCCACTTTCCAAAGAGAATTAATTGTCTCTTTTCTTCAGGTCTGCACATGGAAACTTCTACTAGAAACAAACACCTAGTAATAGTCTTGGACAGCTCCTGTGCAAAGGTCCTGGAAAGAACCAATCCCCTTGGCATGGGCCTTCCTGGATTAAAACGTGAGGATGGGTGAGTTGTAGTCCTCTCCTTGCCTTTGCAAAGAAAGCGCTTCTGACCACTGTTCCAGGCCAGCCAGGCTCTGCTCTAATCGGCAGCCGGCAGGCTCCTGCTGTACCGACTGCTGGCTGTACCGGACGACGTGCGAAACCTGGGGCAGAAAGGAGGGGCTGGCTCCAAAGAGCCTGGGAACTTTCACTCCCGCTCTGCTCTGCCTTACCAAGTCCTTCCACACAAAGCCATTGTGTAGGCTGAAGAGGGGAATAAAGGGAGGGCGGCCTTTCTCCGGGCCTCCCCGCAGACTACACGGTGGAGTAAAAGCACGGCGCCTACCCCCCCACCGCTCCGCTGAAGGGCGGCCTCAGGGGGCCCACCAACACGGGCTGCTCACTCCCGAATGACACTGGGCAGCATTGTCTGATAATGAGCTGAGCTCAATTGCTTACCATGTATTTTGCAGCATAACTAATCCCTAATACTTGTGCTTTTCACCCACAGGTCTCTTTTTGTTGGCTTTAAGGGGAGGAAGAAAGAAAGAAAGAAAGAAAAAAACCCCACCCTCACCTTTGAATCAACCCACACCTCTCAGCGGTGTTGTGAGCACAGAGCTGGGCTGGAGCAGCCCAAGTGCAGGCGTTGGTCCTTCCCAGAGTCAGTACTTCGGGGTGGGGGTGGGGGAGTGGAGGGGAGAGTGGAGGAGGGGCAGTAGTTTGAAGGTGAGAACAGACAGCCCGTCCAGCACCACTTGGCCTCTCCTCCCAGCTCAGACCGCTAAATGTCTGGATCAATCTTAGTTGTCACACTTACTGGTCCTTTAGCTAAGTAGCTGCTTAGTCCTGCAACGCAGAACTTGTTTGCAGTGTTTGAGGTTGGCAAAAGGTGGCTAGGCAGGTATCACAGTCCTCAGAGCCCTGCCGCCTTCCTGACTAAGATGAATCCTGCCACCCTTCACTAATCTATTCAGCGGAGCCACTGGGCACCCAGGGCAGCAGAGAAATTGCGTTTTCCTCCTGAGCCTATTTGTCACCAACCCGTCCACCACATCCCAGCCCAGCCCCCCCCCCCCCCCCCAGTCCATGAGAGTCGGTCGCTCACACAGGCTTAGGCAGAGTTCTTAGAATGTATTTTTGTTCACCTGAAAAATAAAACTTTTAAAAAATAGACAGGACTTTTTGAGTACAGGTATATCTTGAATGGCTGAATTATAAATAATGTCTCTGGTCATGTTCACAGCGAGGGCTGGTACGAATGTCCCAATTCCAGGGAAGGCTTTAGACCCACTGGTGGCCTCACCAGGCGCTTTGATTCATCCCAAAGTGGATTGAAACAGTCCAGAAAAGCAGGGGACAGGGCACCGATTCCCAGATGCTCTCCTTTGAGTCCAGAGATCAATTTACAAATTATTAAAATATATAGGACTAAAAATTCACACCGTAAATATAAATTACAGGCTATTATTGAAGTTATAAAGTGGCATTTCATATTTCTTCCCCCAGTCTCTCAGCAAAAATATTTAAAAAGGCCTGGTGGGCTTTTTAAAGACTGAAGACCTAGTGAGCTGCTAAGAAATGTCCTCTAAGCCCAGAGCCCTCCGGGAGCGGCCAGCCTGCCGTTGGCTGGGGCAGCTCAGTTGCTATTTTCTTGCCCACAACAGGACATGGCTTAGAGCAAGGCTGTAGTCCTGTAAACTTGGATCAGAGCTAACTGGAGTGCAGGCCAGAAATCTGGAAAGACAAACGGTCTCAGGACTCAGGTGGATAAGTTCTCTGTTTTTCTTTTTTAAGTGCTTCATTTCCCAAAAAAGGAAACACCAGGGGTTTGATATCTTGTCACTACCCACACTCAATTGCCTAAAAGCAAGTGGCAGAAGGAAATGGAATCCAAATTGAGGAAGTATAATTCTTGCTGCCCCAGAGCTATCCGTATGTCATTTCCCTGATGCGCGGGCCTCCTCTTCTACAAAATTACAGGCCACGTTTAAGTGGGGCTTATCAGGATCGAGGACAAGCCAGTCAACTTCCTGGCTGCTCTCTTCTCTGGCTATCCGAGCACAGTCCTGAGTGCGAATCCCATCTTTTGACCTTTCGGATTCTACCGCAAAACCCCAAGCCAGAGGACGGGATCAAAGCTCTAGTTTCACAATGCCTTTGTCACAGGCTCAGGAAAGGGGAGAGGCAAAAGTGAACGAGGCAAGATCTTAAGGAGCAAGAAGTAACATAAGACACAATCTGGAACTAGACAAGATCTGGAGGAGCAGAAAGGAAAAAATTAAAATTAAAAAAAAAAAAAAAACACCACCACACTTGCCAGCCCGTCTCCGCACCAGTGCTTGCTCTTCCTAAAGGAACTCTGTGCCGAGCTGGGAAGCTCAGGATTGAGCAGCACTGCTCTTTGCCTTCTGTCCCTGGCTCTAATCCAGACACTCAAGACTGACAGGAAGCCACTTCTGGGGGAGGGGGCACCAGGGTGGGAAGAGGAAAAGGCCCAGTGCATTTCCCACCCTCTGCTGCGACTCCTTCCGGGTCTCCTCTGTCATGTCAACCCTCTTAAGGATCATTCTACTCTTGTGTAAGAACATCATTAACCTATCTTTCTGACCTAGGAGGGGAACAGGGGAAAAGCAAGGGTGGGTGATGGAAAAAATAAAAAGTGGATGGGGGGGTGCCCTTCTGGGCTAGGTGCACTTCGGGGGACCAGCGGACAGACCCCTAAATCAGAGTCGGGGTACAGTCAGAAGCTACCCAGAAGCAGGGGGGTGGGGGGGTTGGGGGGGATACATGGAGTTCTGTATGATAGCTACCAGTGCATGTGTCCACGGCTATGTACAGGGATCTATAAGTCAAATGCATGTCTGGCCACTCCAACGGGGTGGACGTACCTGAGCGCCACTACTTTTGGGTGCCCTCTACCCTTTCGAGAGCTCCAGCTTATTTAAAAAGAAAGAAAAAGAGAGAGAGAGAAAAAAAGTGCCCCTAACAGCTCCCTCCTTCCCCTGAGTCTCGGGGGTGTGTGTGTGGGGGGGGAGAAGGCCCCAGTCACCCCCCTTTGCACGTCGGATACACCAGAGCGCGCGGCGCACGGCCTCCCCCCCTCCCCCGGCCTCCCTCCCCGGCGGCCCCGGGGCCCGGGCGCACGCAGCGCGGTCGGTGGTCGCGGCGGTCCGGTGGCTGCCGGCCCCGGGCCCCAGGGCGCGCTGGCGCCGGCCGAGTGCGTGTGTCCGGGGAGGGGGGGGGATCGGCGGGGAAGGGGAGAGGGGAGGGGGTCCGCTCCCGCGCGGGGCTCCCCGCCCGGTGCTGCCGCGGGGGGAGGGCTCGGACCTTCACCGGCTCCGGGGCGCCTCGTCGTCGTCGTCGTCGTCCCGGTCGTCGTCGTCGCCCGGCCCCCGAGGCCGCTCCAGAGGCCCGGCCGGCGGGCCGTGCGCGGGGGGCTCCGGGGCGGCGGGCCGGGCCGCCTGCAGCGGGGGCGCGGCGCGCGGCGCCTCGCGGCGGGACGACCGGGTGGTGTTGGGCCCCGCCGCCGCCGCCGCCGCGGCCCCCGACGTCCCCGACGGGCCGGTGGCGTTGGCGCCGCCGGGGGGCGGGCCCGCGGCGCCCCCCGAGGTCCCGGCGCCCACCGGCTGCCAGATGAGGCTGTAGTAGACGGCCAGCACGATGGCGGCCAGCGACACGGACAGCACGTAGGCGAACACGGTGGCGAGCCGGACCCACTTCTTGTTGGTCTTGGCCGCCATCTTCGCCTTCTTGTCCCCGGTGTAGGTGGCCGGCTTGCCCCGCTCGGCCGGGCCCGCGTCGCGCTCCTTCATCGGGGGGCCCCGGCCTTTGCCCCGGTGCTCCACGGCCCCGGCTGGAGGGGGGGCCTGGCGGCCCGCGAGCCCTGGGCAGGGGGCGGCCCGGCGCCCCGGGCTCCCGGCGGCTCCGCGCTCCGCCGCGCTCCGCTCCTCGCGCCGCCCGCCCGCGGCCCGCCCGCCACCGCGTCGCCGCAGCCGCTCGCCGGGGCCTGCGCCCGTCACCGCCGCCAGCGCCGCCGCCGCCGCCGGCCCGCCAGCTGCTTCCCCGCCGCCGCCGCCGCAGCCACCGCAGCCGCCCGGCTCCGCGTCCCCATCCGCCGCCGCCGCCGCCGCCTGCCCCGGCCGCTCGGTCTCCAGTGGCCGCGGAACCGCGCGCTCCGCTCCAGCCCGGCTCCCCCGCCTCGCGCGCCGGCCTGGGGGCGGGGCCCGCGCGCCGGGGGCGGGGCCCGCGCGCCGGGGGCGGGGCTGCGCGCCGGGGGGCGTGGCGGCCTCTTAAACCGGCGACGCCGCGGCCCGCGAGCGCCGCGCGGGGAGCCGGGGGCGGGCGGAACCCCCCCCCCCCCCCCCCCGCGGCATCGCCCGCTTACGACGCTGTGCGAGGCGCCCGGCTCTTAAAGGGGGCGACAACCGCCGAGGCCCGGCGCGGGCGGGCGCGGCGGGGTCCGAGCCCCGAGCGCTTCTTTAAAAGGGATCGGGCGCTGCGCGGGGCGGGGCGACGGGCTGACAGCGGGGCGTGGCCTGGTCGGGGCGTGGCCTAGTCGGGGGCGGGGCTGGTCGGGGGCGTGGCCGGGCCGGGGCCGGGGGCGTGGCCGAGCCGTGGGCGGGGCCGGGCCGGGCCGGGGCCGGGCGCGGTCCTCTCGGGCCCCCCGCCGGCTCCGCCCCGGGGCTCCGCGGGCGCCGGCCCCTCCGTGTAGACCCGCGTCCCGCTCCGCGCACCCCGCTGGAGGCCGTCCCGGGCCTCGGCCTCGCGTCCGCGGCGGCCAGCCCCGGGCCCGGGAGCCCGCGGAGGCCACGCCGGCCGCGCGCCCCCCACGCGGTCCCGGGGCGCACGGCGGGGCTCTCTCGGGTGACTCGGGTGTGGCTTTGGCTTGCACCCCAGGGGCCCCGGGGCCCGGGCCGGTGCTTGCCCCTTGGGCCCCAGGGCGCCCCGCGCCCGCTCCGCGTGGCGGGTCTTGAACTCGGGGCCTGGGCGCTGTCCCTGCGCTCTGCAGCTCCAGGCGAGCGCTCCACCGCCCGAGCCACAGCGCCACTTCCGGCTTTCTAGAGGCTCATTGCAGACAGGAGTCTCACGGACTTTGCTGCCAGGGCTGGCTTTGAACCGCGATCCTCAGTCGCCGGGATGACGGGCGTGTGCGCCCCTCCTCCTTTCCAGAATGTCCAGCTCCCTCCTCCAGAATCTTATCTCCTGTGTTCCCCGAGCAGCAGCCTGGACCGCCAGGGTGTCTGAGTGGGGGGGGGGCCCTTGGTGGGGGCCGGGGCCGCGGTCCCCGGGGGAGTCTGGGGCCGGGGGACCCTCTCTGCCGCCTGGCCCACTGCCCCTCCTCCTCCTGGACCTTTGACCTTAGACCCTCCCCTCTCCATGAAGTCTTAGGGTGCCTGGCCTGCTGGACCACAGGCCGCCCTAGGCACTGATGGAGGCTCAGGGGCGGCTCTGCCTTTCCATGGAAAAGCCTGCCTCTTCTGAGAAACTTCAAGTCCACTGGGGCTTGCTTATTGCCTTCTGTGGGCTGAGAGGGTCAAATAACAATAACAACAACAACAACAACTCACTCCCTCACCCTGCTCCCAGATCAGCCAGAGCTGGTCTTGAAGGCAGCCTGTGGAGCTAAAATCCCTGCATTGGCTCTGAAAGTTGTCCTCTAGCCTCCACCTTGCTCTGTGTGGCCTTCCTGGCATACAACTACCCCAAGACAAATTTTTTGGGGTTGGTTGTGGGGCTTGAACTCTGGGCCTCGGGACTGTCCCTCAGCTCTTCAGCTCAAGGCCGGCGCTCTACCACTTGAGCTACAGCACCACTTCCGGTTTTCTGGTGGTTTATTGGAGATAGGAGTCTCAAGGTCTCTCCTGCCCGGGCTGGCTTCGAACCGCGATCCTCAGATCTCAGCCTCCTGAGTAGCTAGGATTACAGGCGTGAGCCACCAGCACCTGGCTCAAGGCGAATTATTCTTAAACATTTGGCGTGAGACCGAAGCTTCCTTTGATCCCCTTTCTGGGATTCACACCATATTGTTTCTCCATATATTTGGTGCACATTAAACTACTTTTTAATTTTTATTTATTTTTTTGCTTGCTTTCCAGCCTTGTAGGAAAACAGCATGTCACTCTTCTCTACTAAAAAAGAGTACCACACTGAAGCTTTTAATTCATGCCTCTGGCTCTAGTCCTTCCCAGTGCCAGATTCTTTAACCTGTCATCAATATAAGTCCTATTTATTATCTGGCTTTACATAGTGTCTTTTACCCCTGCAACTCAAAATGCTTTCAGATATAATTGAGCCTTGGTCTCCCTGGTGCCTGAGCCATTAAGAAACCATTAGTGAATTCCAGTTATAGGCTACTAAATGGCCCCCTAGTGGTCTGAAGGTGAAAATGCTTCTCTAAGTGCCTCCCCGCCCAACTCCCCCCACCACCACCAAGGGTGGGCAGGAACTAGAGAATCAAGGCAGCTTGGTGACAGAATGAACTCAAAAAGCCGTCGTTTGTGTCTGTCCCCCTGGACCCTACAGCCTCCTCCCGCATAACATCCCGTGTCTGATGGCCATGCCTGATTATCTTCTCCCAGAGGAAGCCCTTTTAGCGTTTGGAAAGTTTTAAGCAATTATAACCACAGCAGGAGCCACGCCCTCAGTATGTGCTGGCTTCAGTCTTAAAGCAGTGTGTCAGGTAGTTACCATTTATGTTCATTTTATAGAAAAAACTGCTTCAAAGGAACTCCACCAAGGCCACAGGGACTTCAACCCGAGTCTTTCTGACTTTGGAGCCTTGAACCCTTGATTCCTGTTCTAGACGAAGACACAACCAAACCTTCTCTCTGTAGTGGATATTGTGGGGTTCCACCCAGGCCACTCACATGATGAGGTACCCCTGCCGGGTTTAGTGGCTCACGCCTGTAATCTGATCTGCTCAGGAGGCTGAGATCTGAGAACCGTAGCTAGACAGGGCAGGAAAGTCCAAGAGATTCTTATCTCCAATGAACCAGCAAAAAGTTAAAAGAAGAGCTGTGGTTCAAGTGATAAAGTTCTAATCTTGAGAAAAATGGCTCAGGGACAGAACTCAGGCCTAGAGTTCAAGCCCCAGGCAAAAAACAAAACAAAACAAAAACAAAAAACAAAAGTCACATGGGTCCTTGGTTCAAGTGGGAAAAACATCCGCCAACTAGTCCAGTGTGCACATCCTCCCAGCTGATGTCAGCGTTCCTTTCAAGTAAAAACGATGCTCCACGGGGGAAGGGGTGAGTTCGGATCACAAGCTGTCACACCAGGGAGCTCCCAGGAGAGCCCAGATCCTTCCATGCGCAGTGGAGCGCTTCCCAGTTAATCATGCGGAATGGTAAAAATAGACACTTCCAAGGGTCAAGATTTAATAGAACTTGACAATATGTGTTGCTTTGTTAAGGATATTCTTAAATAGAACTGACTTTTCTTCCTGCTTCCAATGCCCCCTCTTCCTTCCTTTCTTCCTCCTCCTCTTCCTTCTCTTCCCCTTCTTCCTCCTCGTCTCTTCTTTCCTTTCCTCCTCCTTCTTTCTCTTCCTCTTCCTGCTCACCCACATTTCTTTAAAACGTTAAAGAGACAAACAGGACTAGGGGCATGGCTCATGTGGTAGAGTCTCTGTCCAGCAGGTTTGAGGCCTTGAGTTCAAAAGCTAGTGCTGTCCCGTCCTCCCCCAAAAAAGTTAAAAAGGCAAATAACATCTTAGTATTATTCTGAAGATAATGTTGACCTTCTGAAACCCTGCCGCAGTCTGCAGAGCACACACTGAGCGTTGCTGAGCTCTATGCAATTAAAAGAAACCAAGGCTGGAAGTGGAGGTTGCTGGGCCGTGTGGACGCAGTGTGCACACCCAGACCCTGACCTGGGGTCCGGCCCCTGGGAAACGGAGAGGGCTCCCCAGTGCTGTGGACATGTGGTAACCCTCTCCCCATTGCTTCCCCAAACAACGCTGGGAACTCAAGAGTTCCAGGAGACATCTGAGCTCAGGCTCCTGCCTACCCAGGAGGCTGAGAGGTAAGGATCTGGGTTTGAAGCCAGCCTGGGCAGGAAAGCCCTCAGGAGATTCTTATCTCCAGTTAACTATCCCCCCCCCCAAAGCAGGAAGTAGAGCTGTGGTTCAAGTGGTAGAGCACCAACCTTGAGCAAAAAAGACTCAGAGACAGCACTCGGGGTCCTGAGTTCAAGACCCAGGACCAGCACACGCATGCTTGTGCACACACCCACAAACACACACATGCACACACACACACAAATAATAAATAAAACTAAAAGGAGACACTGGTACCTGGCCTAGCACGGGTCTTTCAGTACAGTGGCCCAAGGTAAAAAGCTGCACAGGCTCATGAGCTGCAGCAGGTAGCTTGGCTGGCTGGAGAGAGGCTTAGGGAAGTAGGGGAAGAGTAGCAACAGGAATACTTGGGGAAGGAAATGGATGTTATCTATGGTCCTGGGCCCGGAGGAAGATGTAACAAGAAACTGCATCTTTCCTGCTAGTAAGTACAGAAGCAACACGTTGGCTCCTTGGATTTCCACCCCTGAACTTCCCTAGCGAATCACAAATGAGGAATCCAACGCTTGGGATCTGCCACAAACCACTGGCAAGGGAGCAAGGGAGCCTGGGCCTCTCTCAGCGCCGCCTCTGACCCTCCCGCTTCCCACTCACCAGCTCAAGGTCCACCCCTCCCCCAGGCAGGCTCTGCAGCGTGCCCAGCAGGGGCCATCCTCGCCCTTCCACCGTGGGGGGGAGGGCGGCTGGATGGGCTCCGTGCCTTTGGGGTGGCCCCACTCAGCTCAGCCTCCAGCCCAAGGCTGCTTCCCCTCCCTGGGCAGAAGCTGACTTGCCTGGATTGCTCCATGCTCATTTCAGCTACTATTTGCATAATAGTTTTCTTGTTTAATGTGT